TCAATGGATCCTAGATTACCCGAAACCATGCACATTCTTATATAACTGCAACATGTTGTATTGATCGGATATCTCTGTACCATCTTGCAGTCAACATTTGCTCATATTGGAACAAGGGTATTGCGTTGATGTAAATTATGAAATGACGAGGTGTACCAGATACAACGCTGAGGAATGGGTTACAGCTGACATTTAGAAGATTGCAATATTTTGTATAAAACATCAGTTTCTATAAATGTCACACATCTGAAGTTCTGTCCCGCATAAGCAGCCATTCTATGTCAATATGAGTTTAATAGTCCTGTATCCGGTTAAGTTAGGTTAGGTTAAGTTAGGTTAGATTAGGTTATTTTAAGTGAGGTTAGCCCCACCGGAAACTTTTATTCTTGCTCCTCGATCAATCTGGGAAACAAAGTGGGCAACATCACCGTTTATCGATTGGAAGCGGAATCTGCTTTTAAACATAGCTTGTTTCAAAGAGAAAACTTTGGAAGTTTCCGCGATCCAAAAAAGTTCCGTCTTCAACCTCATGAAATCTCATTGCATTATGCGCCATTAGACCAGTAACTGCGAGTCCATTACGATGATGCGATTAAATTTTTTTCATAACTTTAGAAGGTTATGAGGTATTCCCCGAAAGTCCTCAGAAACTGCGCTCAAATTTGTACTTGTTCTAGAAGCTGTTTAAACCCACAATAGGACTTGAGGTTTTATGCACACCATAAATAGACCACGACCTTTTATTTTTTGCCAAAATAAATGTCACTCTTTTGTTTCAAGTTTTTCCGAAACAAATGGCCAAGGCAAACTACTTTCTCGTTACGCCGTGAACAAGGTGGTATTCATCAACGCGTAACATATTTGTAATTCGTTTGGAAGTGAGTTTAGACTTCTATTTTTGTTTGGATGTTAGGTGATTTCACGTAGTCAAGAACCGGTAATTTCAAGTCACACAAATCTCGTTCCCTTATACCTTTTTAGGTACTGAATTCCAGACCCAATGCTCATAGGATTTGACATAGATACAACAAACCTGCAATCACGTCTAAAAATTGGTTGTTTCACGCAAAGGCGTAGAGTGCACTTAGCAAGTTGCAACATTGTCTTACATCCCTTGGAGGTAAAATCAGCCTTTTATTTTTATTGGTTCGAGTAATATGAGCTTGGATCATTTAACGCCCCCAAAATCCATCGCCTTAAAATCCTGCCAACGTGTCGCATTACACCTGTTAAAACACAGAATCTCCTTGCCTATGGGATGGTGTAGCATTAAGTGTCCATTACTGATAGTTTTTGAGTTAAAAACAACCAATGTGAAATAATGTCTAAAAATGGTCGTTTCGTCTGAAAAGCGTAAATGGGGACAGAGCATACTCCCGTTTCGTACACACGCTGATGTAACTATTGGCGTTCATTTCACGCACAAAAAAAAACCCGCTTCAAGATTTTAACGTTTTCCGCAACGAAGTGGCCGGGGTGAGATTTTCTTTCATTTGCACGTCGACAACAACGGCAATAAATGTGTGTAAAATTATTGTGTACCGTTGAAAATTGCCATCTGCTTTCGAGCGGAGCTGGTTTCAGAAACAAAACCTTGGAAGTTTGCGCTCACAAAACAGGGTTGATGTGAGGACAAGGTTGAAGTGATGGACTCTCATTGCACAATACGTCGTTACATCCCTATTTGCACGGCGAATGAGATGGTGTACTTTGAAATTTTCTCACTTGCATAGCCTTGGAGTTTTTTAAATAAACCGTCAGAAGCTATCCTCAAATTCACATTTACTCTAGAAACTACTTACATGTACAGAAACACTTGCCGCTTTATACACACCGTAAATGAATCACGACTTTGATGGCAAACCAAAAATCGCAGTTTAGCCGTCATAATGATCTTCTTGCATTATTCCTATTAAGACGAGGAATTGCCTGGTTCATGCGATAGGGTGACTTAAAACTTTCTTATGCTAATAGGCTTTTCGTTAGAAACATTAAACCTTAAATAACGTCCCAAAAATTGGCACTTTGTCACAAAACCATAAATCTGGGCAGCAAACCTCTCCACTTCGTACGCGCACTGATGGGACTTAAGGCCCTCATTCTGCACCCCAAAGTATTATTTTGAAAATTGGCACCAGATTGTTGTTAGTTAAACCTTGCCATTTCTTAGTACGTAAGATGGCCTAAGCTTATATCTCACGAAGCAATTAAGAAGAAAGCCTGATTTCGCTTTCAAGCTATGTAGAAGTGTGTTAAAGGTGCTTACTTTATGTTCACCTAGTGGCGAGAGCGATAGCTGACCATGGCCGTTTTTCCAGAAAAGGTCAAACTTGTTTACAACAAGTCTAGTATCAAACTCAAACAAATGAGCTTTTTGGTACAAAATGAAAGGTCGTGGTCCATCTGAGGTGTATATTGAGCGGGAAGTGTTTTTGTGCATGCAAATATGTTTTTTAATGTTGCAACTTGCATTATCTGAAGATGACTTTCCAATAACTCCAGAATTACGAAAAGGAAAACCTTGAAACGAAGCCAACGTCTTGGTCGTGCAGTTACGCGTCTAATGACCTATAATACCATAAAGCTCCACGAAGCTGAAATTGAACCATTTTTTGTCCACGGAAACTTCAAAGTGCTGCCTCCGCAACCACGTGCGTTCGAAAGCACATTTCACTTGCAAGCAATAAACAATGATGTTGCAAACTACCGGGGAACCAAAGTCTAGTATGAAACACAGGAAGACGGATACACCACAGAGATAATATTCCAACAGTAATCCAGAGGAAATAAGCTCAGCTGCTCCCGGCAACGCATAAGTCATATTCATCGGACTCAAGTGTTGTGGCTCAACCGACATCGCCGGCGCGATGTGCTTATTTCTTATAAGTGTGAATCACATTACCCAGACTCGTGCATGAGGTACGCTACGCTAATAAACATAAATGTACCGTACAGATAGCGTTGATTTTGCTTCGGTGTTCGGTTTCCAGTGCTTGGCTCATTGCCTTAGAATTGCTGTTGGCGAATTATCTCGTCAGAGTGCTTATTTTGATGGCAGAGTGTTTTTCAGGTTTCGCCCCTTGAAATGACATAAGAGGTGCACTGGTTTAGAAGGGTGCTACTACAGTCCGTCGTACTACATGATAGCAACATCTCCCGGCAATGCATGAGTCATATTCATTGAACCGGAGCGTTGTATGTCAACGGACGTTGTCGGCACGATATGCATTTATTTTAAGTGTGAACCATATTATCGGGACCCATGTGCGAGCTGCATGTTCGGTGCGGTACATGTGCGCTAATAGACGCAGATGTACCGCACCGAAAATGTTGGCTTTGCTTCGGTTTTTGGTTTCCGAGGCTTGGCTCATTTCCTTGGGATTGCTCTTGGCACATTATCTCGGTAGAGTGCATTATGTCCGCGCTGCCGCGTGTTTGAGCCGGTCCTGCACTCGCTCCACACTGTGCCACTAAGGTCATTCTGTGTTTACTGGAGCTGGAACACAGCGGTAACGTACAACCCCAAATATCTCTCTCGCCAGACTGCCCTGCTGGCGGGTTGGACGGCTGGCCAAACGGGGCTGACGTGCCATCTATAATCACCTTGCCCACCCGCTAGGGCGGCGACACCGCACCCTTCCCCCTGAAGATTCACTTCTCACAGAGACGTTTCGGCCTGCGCCGCCTCGTCGCGCGCCGCCTGCTGGTGCGCCCCCAGATGGCGCACGGCGCACCCCTGCTGGCGCGCGAATCGCTCCATCAAGGGCCGCTGCTGTTCCAGGAACACCTCCTGCTCTGACTGCGTTTTCTTCCCCACCTCAGACGAGAGGTTCTCCAGCTCGGCCAACATCATCTGGCGCCGGCCCTCGTCCCCTTCCAGCTGCGCCGTCCCAAGGCGGGTGTCACCAGCGCCGTCTGCTGGACCGGCGCCCTCAGCCTTCTGCTTCTGGTGCTTCGGTGCCAGGCGCTGCATCTCGTCTTAGTGCTCCTGAATCAGCTGACAACGGACCTCGCTGACCATCCTCTCATCCTCCTGGTGGACCCCTTCGCTTCCTTCTTTTACCGCTCCACTGTGTGCGCCATTTTCGTCAGGCGTTTCCTCTCAAGCTCTGTCACTTCCTTTGTATGCTCGCGCTCCAGCTCCGTCCTGACATCTCGCCTCTGGGAGGCCAACTTGCAACCCAGCTGCTGCCGCAAGGTGGCGACGCGGCGTTCGAACTACACGCGCAGCCGCAGGACAGATGACCGGACAGTGTCATCGCCGTCAGGCAGGCCAAGGTCGGCGAAGCTATCATCTAGCTCGGCTGTCTCCTCTTGCCTGGTGGCTCCGGCAGTGGCAGTGGCGACCGGCTCAGCCCCGGCCGGCTCCGGCCGGTTGCCCGGCCGGCCGGTAGCATATCATCTCGGCAGAGTATGTCTTGGATGTCAGAGCAGTTTTCATGTCTCGCCAATTGGAATTATACAAGACGTGTACTGCTGTAAGAGGGTGCTACTACAGCCCGTCCACACGACGCGATGGCAACATCTCACGGCGATGAATAAATCATATTCAGTGAGCATTCGGCAAGATGTGTTTATTTTTTATAAGGGTGAATCGCATTATCCGGATTCGTGGATAAGGTGCACTGTGCTAATACACGTATATGTACCGTGCCGAGAACGTGGGCTTTGCTTCGGTCTTCGGTTTCGGGGCTTGGTCCATTTCCTTAGGATTGCTGGAAGCGTTTTAGCTCATCCGACATTGTCGACTCTTTGCATGTGTGGTTCATTTGGAAATATCAATTCATGTTTCACAACAGGAGGCAATATAGGAGGTACAAAAAGTGCAATTATAAGGCAGGAGGGTACGTACCTTTCTGGTCGTTGTGCGACAGTCTTTTCATTCCCTCGGCTCTCAAGAGCATTTTAAAAGCCTTGTGAAAATGCTGAAACGGGCGATGCCCCTGGGAAGGCTTGACGATAAGTCAAATCCGGCGCTTTATTGACGCTTTTCTGTTGTAAATAAGGTGCTTACTCGCGCTTGTGTTCGTTGCGTGCTGCGCGTATATTGCTCGATGTGGAGATTTGTCTTCTGAAAAGGTGAGCAACTTGCAGAATACTGAGTCTTATGATTGTTCTGATGTTTTTTCAATATTTTTGTTTGAAATTGTCCTTGAAACGTACCTTGCAGAGTTTGACCTATGTGAAAATCGGTGGTTGCTGTACACAAAGCTAAGGATTTAGTTTTACTAAATATATGCTGCAAAATTTTCCCTGCAATGTTGGTGCTATCCTAGGCATGTTCTGCATGACATCTTTTTCTGCAGTCTGCTTTGATGGCCCTAATCCCCATTTCCATTCTTTGAATAGATTGTGGGTGAACTTTGCCTTGTGGGGAAATCTTAAAAACACTGATATTGACTCAGTAGATTTAATGTTCACCTGTCCCCTCTCATCCATCTGTCTGATTGCTCAGTCAGTTAGAGCCCCTGCCTGCTTTTTGGATATTCACTTTGACGGGGTGCTATTTGCCCTTGAGAAGTTTCAAGTGAGGTTCCACTGCCAGCATCCAACTTGAAGGTCTGGAGACATTAGGGCAGTCATCCTAGAAGTTGAGAGATTCAAGAGGGAAATGTTTAAAAGTATTCTCAAAATCTTGGGAGTAATCTTGCAAATATTTGGATGGCAGCATGCCATGCTCATTTAGCTGTAGATGACATGCCTAGATAGATTGTGTGCTTAACATTCTGAGAGCTTTTTCCTACAGGCACCATTGTTATGTGACACCAGTTGTAGTATTGTGTCCCACTCAATTCTGGAACAATATGTAAACTGGACAGTCTTCAGGAATATGACACTTTAAAGTCCTTTGTAGTGTCCTTAATTTGATAAAAGTTGATCAAGGTCATTTTAGGTCATTCACCTGTCCTGATGTTCATGGAGTCAAAATATGTAATCTTGTGATGTCTGTGTGTTGCAAGAATTCAAAATGAGCATCCAAACTCCCCTTAAAAGCAAGTTTTTTTTACTCATAATGTGGTTTGATTTTGGCCTTGATCTGACCTTCATGTTTGACCCAAGGTCAATACAATTAATCATAATCATATTCACAATTGTCTGCTTGCCCAAGAAATCATATGAAAGGTGTATGACTTCATCCAACATTCCATTGTCACATATTGCACAATTCCATTACAATTGTCTTCACTAACTCCAATGGCCTGACTTGTCTGTTTATGACTTGTCAATGGGCTGACCTGGCTTGACCTGTTAATAGGTCAATGACATTATGAGGTACATCTAATTTGTGTATAAAAAAAATCATTATCCGATTGATGGCAGGTTAACAATACTTGGTGCGACTAAGCGGCACCATTCCTTCAACACTGGCCAGAGTATTCAGACAAGGTACCCACTTATTGGATCCTGTAAATCCACAGTAAGCAACTATATATATAGTTATATATATATATATATATATATATATATATATAAAACTCAAAAGCTAGCCTGGCTTATCCGACGTGTTTTTGAGTGGTTGGCATTCATACTTATCCACAAAAATGATGGCCCCCTGGGAGACACATAGCTTTCCCATGGAGATGCCCCATTTCTAGCAGTACTAATCCTTACTGGAACCGAACACGTTATCATGCGAGCATTGATCCTGTGGCTAGGCGTGAAGTTCTGAACTGTCCCCTATACTTTGACACTTGTGACAGTGCTTGGTACCCTGATGTATTGCTCTATAACAGCCTCCTTCATTGGGAGCTGTTGATGACAAGAGCGTGGCACGCCCAGGTCTGCGTCTTTGTATATCAGAGGTATCAAATGGAAGCGGGCACATTGTGGCGCTTGCGGAAGTCTTGCGGGGGCAGCAGATTACCCCAGGCCTGTCAGGAACAGAGACCAGGTTGAGCAGCGGTCCGTAGACCGGTTTCTGCGGAGCCTGCTGATTGCAGCGAGCTGGACCAATGAGTCGTCGCCGGTCGCCACGTGGCGGCAGCGGCGACCATGCGGTGATTAAAAGTCCATTCGGGTAACTTGTCAGTCATCAGTGCTACTTCAGCCTGACACAAAGCTGTCGTTGGGCTATCGAATGAAACTCGCTCGGAGCTGCCATTACCAACGGATGTTGTGCCAAGCGCTCACATGATTAATCTTCGAGTGGTCAATTCGAGAATGGTTTTCTTTTCAGGGATGGAATCCATATATGAAATTTTTATCCTTACGAGTTGCTTGAAGCTTCTGCTGATTCCAGCATAGTAAGTAAATGCCAGGCGGGTGCCGGTTGCGTGTTCAAGGTGTCGTTCATACCGTTCTATTTTTTTTGTCTCACACATGAAGCAAATGACAATGAATACAGTTTGTGAATGTGTGACATTGTTGGAACGGGAATAGCTGAATGAATCATCTATATCACTTTTTGGGAGCGAGACGTAATGCAGCATGCGCACCATACATATATTCTGTCATTGCATACTTGCCACCATTATGTTGTGATATGGGATGTGCCATGTGCCCTCAGTCGAAGCACAGACTTCGAGGTCCACCGTAATTGGCTGGCCATAACCCATTCAGTGCCGGTGCGGGAGTGGTATACAGAGAATACCTCCGAATGGACGCTGGACTACCCGCCTCTCTTCGCCTGGTTCGAATTTCTTCTGTCTCAGCTGGCCGTCTTCTTCGATCCGAGGTTAGTCTTGCATTCCATGTGTGGCGTAGGCAGGATTTGCTCGGTAGGGGGATTGGGAAGAGGGGGGGGGGGGGGGGAGGCAAATCGGGTCGTAGATTACCTAGGCCCAAACTTGTCATTCAAGGGTGGCTCCTTTTCTCGTCTGTTTTCTTTTTGTGCGTGGAGAACCGTCTTTTTGGGAATTGGGGGACATCTTGGAGGGTCTGGATCCTATGCTGATGCCTTTGGGCCCTTTATCTTTATGTTTTGGGAGGCATACTTGTGTCTCAAGCTGTAAACAGTAGCCTCTAAACGGAAGAGTCCATCAGTTTTCCTGCAATGCGCGAAAATTTGTCATTTCGGAAATGACTTAACAGCTCCTACAATCCCAAGCAGCCTAAATTTTGCCACTTCTGCATATTCTGTTGCGGCTTTAGGTACGTGGACTAGAACACTGTTATAGGGGCGATGCACTGTCGCCCGGTCGCCTTTAGTAAGGCGTAGGCTGAGGCCATAACTTCGCAAAATAGTTACAGCTTTAGTAGAAAATTGTAAGGTGCTCAATGTACCAATGCCAATATATGCTGCGCCATTAGTACGCCGCACCATCCACACATCCAGAATGTACCAATACCAATTGAGTATGCCGCACCACCCACACATTTGACATAAAAGCGATTTTCGCTGGGCCCACTCTTTGATATACTGCTTCTGAAAAGCATAAGACCGCCCCCCCCCCATCCCAAAAAAACACATACTGTTTTTTCGTAAAATAAGCTCAACCTTTACCACTGAAATATAGTTCCTTGGGCACGTGATCGTCGGCATCATAACGACACTGACAAAAGGATACGTACTGAATTTGCCACTGTCGTGCACTGCCTTTCATGAAGCCCGCACGAAGCCTGGAACCTTCGGAATCATTGCGGCTGAAATGAAAGACTCTTGGCGTTGATAGAGAGGCAAGATAAATCAGAAGACACCTCGCAAGCTTTTACGTATTGAGCTGAAAAACGTGATGGCCGGACGGTTAATGCCTTGGACTTACACGTTAAGGCCCGAGTTTGAATCCCGGCTGTGCCTTTCCCAAGAGCGCTAGCATGGCTACTAGTACAATCGCTGGCGCCCCTAGAAAGGGAGCGTGACGACGGACGTCGCGTTCCATTAAAGCAAATCTGGATAGCGACCGTTCAGTGCCTGCAGCCTTCGCAAGACCGCCTCAATATGATCCAAGTTTGGCGAACGTGAATCTTATCTCTCGCCACTTCGTGGCACGGGCATGTAATGAACACATCAGATGACTGCACCAGCCACTTTCCGACGTGTGGTTACCTCACTGCTCCCTGCTATTTGTGGCCTTAAGAGCTGATCGCTCAAACTCCATGTCCGCGTCGCACCGTCGCCCGGCCAGCGGTCCCCAGGCCGCTGCAGTCACCAGACCCGTCAAAGAGCTCTGCATGTGCTGCGCCCAGCGATCGGTGGGGCTGCGCCGGCCGGCGGCGGCTGGCACTGGCAGTGCTAGACGACTGGACGTGGCGGCGGATCGTGTCGGCCGCTCCGACGCTAGGTAGCGGCACGTGCCCTGCTGGCGGCGCCACCCATTATCCGCTGGAACGTGACGGACGCCACGCGGCGGATCAGGTCCGCTCTAAATCACAGCAGGGAGCACCGGCGGCGAACGGCGCGGCCAGCGGGCTTGCGAACAAAATGACATTCAAGTACTTTTTTCTCGCTAGGTGGCAGCCATAATGAGAGATCCCGTAGGGGCCGGGAGGTGGTCTAGCCCCCCGGACCCCTGCAGACCTAATGTGTGTGGGCCAGGAGTCCAGGGGCTACTGTTCAATCCCCGGGGAATCAAGGTGCCCCTTGGCAGGACTCCTTTTGGGTCTCGGAGCACAAAACCATATGAACGTGCCATGCCTGGCCACTGAGGATCCCCTCTCGCTGCACATGAACTTCACTGTGTATCCATGGTCCCTCTGTCCACCACTGAGCACCCTTTGATTGCTGGGGTGCAATCTCTGGCTATACCTGTGCTCATCTGGCAGTTAAAGACCCTCTAGGTGGTGACGGGCGTACTAGCCTGCTTAGCGGCTCGTTTATTCAGTTGAGTTTAGTCAGTCTAATCATTGGGCAGAGCCCTTCAGCTGTACCCTCACGCCCATCCGGGCGCTGGGACTGTGGGGTGGGGCAACTGCTCAGGACTCTTCTGGTCGCTCACAAGCTCGCCCTGCCGCCCAAGAATCCTCGTCAGGCCGCTCCTCCCTAATCCTCCCACCCCGGAATCCTCCACCAGCCGCTTTCTCCCCATCCTCGTTTCCTCACAATCCTTCCTCAGCCGCTCCTCCCCCATCCTTCCCCTCAGAATACTCCCCCAGCCGCTCCTCCCCCCATCCTTCCCCCTCAGAATACTCCCCCAGCCGCTCTCCGTAATCCTTCCTCAGAATCCCTCCTTCAACAGCTCCTTCGTTATCCTGCCTGACTCAGAATCCTCCTCCAGCCGCGCCATGCTCGGCACGCCAGAAGTCGCATTAAAATGTCAAAAGTCTTATCTTTACCTAGGACCTCTCCGGCCACTCGGGATGTTTCGAGATACCGAGGGACCACCATGACCGCTGAAGATACCCTCTGTGTGTCGATGGACCCATGTCGTAATAATCCGGGTCCACGACATGAGTGCTACAACAAAAACTTCCACCGACACCAGTGCTACGACATTACGTCTACGCCAGTACTTACACACGACATTAGTGCCACGCGACAAAACTTAGTCTGCTAAAACTTATACTCGTCATCACTTCTGCTCCAAACACTTCTACAGTCATTACCTATGCGCGCCTTGACTTCTGCTGCAAACACTTCTACAGCCATTACTTATGCACGTCATTACTTCTGCTGCAAATACTCATGCGCTACATAAGTGCTACACGATACAATTTAAACTTCAAAAATGTATACTCGTCATTTCATGTACTGCGATAAAAGGTATAGCCATTACTTATACAGGACTTAACATAGGTAAGGCAGTAGTATTAGCGTTATTCCTCGAGAAAAAAACCCAGGAGAATGGAAATATAGTGTGATCGATTTTTCGGCAACATGTCTTTATCGAAACAGAAGCAGAAGGCTTCTGTTTTGGTTTCGATAAAGGCATTTTGCCGAAATATCAACCAAATTATATCTCCATTCTCCTGTTTTTTTTTCTTCGAGGAATAAGGCTAATACTACTGTCTTACCTAGGTGAATAATGTTCCTCGCTAATGCACTGAACAACTTACGTAATATAGGACTTCATTCCTATTGCAAGTACTTATACGCGGCATCAGTGCTACACGTCAAAACTTATGCCTCAAAAACTGATGCCCGTTATTACTTTTAGCGTAGAGTTCTTTTTTACCGTAAAATACATTGCTCACGCACGGCACAACTTGTACTGCAAAAACTTATGTGCGGCATCAGCGCTACAGCAAAGACTTGTAGTCAAGTGTAGAAGTAGATGATAGAAGATAGAAGTAATGACTGGTGTATGTTTTTACAGCAAAAGTTTTGTCGTGTAGTACTCATGGTAGGCATGAGTTTTGGTAGTAGAAGTAGCGTCGCGTGAAAGTGAAGGTTGTATGACTCTTTACTGTATTAACATAGGTAATGACTAGTATACACTTTTTCAGCATGCGTTTTGCTGTGTAGCCCTCATGTTGTATATGAGTTTTTGCAGTAGAAGTAATGCCGCGTATAAATATAGACTGTAGAAGTTCTTGCAGTAGATGTATTGACATGTTTTTGGAGCATAAATTTTGTTCTATAACACTCATGTCGTGTAAAACTTTTGACAGTAGAGGTAATGTCGCGTATAGCTGACGTAGCACTCTTGTCGATAGTTTTTGCCATAGCACTTATGTCATGGCACCTAACCTCGAGATTCTAGAACTGTATTAACCCCAAAACCTGGGATTGGAAAGTCTCGGGACTTCAAGATCCCCGTGAAATTTTTGCCGTATAAGAAGATTTAAACAAATCGTCGCTGGTGGTATGTGTAAACAGGAATGAATAATGTTCAATACATAAGATTGAGGAAGTCGTGTGGTGTTGTAAAAAATCTCACTGTACCTTGGGAATTTTCGTGAAAGCCATCTGCGTACGGCCTCTACGAGAACCCTGCTCGGCATCGCTTCACACCGTGTCAAGCTCCGAGCTCGAGCTTGTCTCGTGTGCGCCGTCTCCTCATGTACGCGGCGCAACAGCTCGTAGTACCCGAAGACAACGATGCAGACTATCGAGTCGGAGCATGTCGGGCGCCGTGTCTGTTAGCAAGTATGTCCGGGGACTTTATTGGCGCCCGTGCCTCTTGACTGAGTGACCCCGCCAGGTACCCGGGAGCATCCTTGGTGAATTGTGCTCAATTTAAAGGACCGGATTGTGGGAACACTTTCGTAGAAATCAAGATGACGACACAGAAGAGTGTTGTATCTCTCAAAAGGTGTTGAAAATATCTGGAGGCTCCATGAAGGGACTTCACGGTCACCTCAAGAGTAAGCATGGTGGTAAAGGTATTGCTGACACACCTCAGACACCTCAGCACGGGTCTGGGTGAGGCCAGGCTGAGAGCTCCGGGGCAACGGCACTGCCTCTGAAAGGAATTAAGACCATTAATTGCCACAACCTTTCTTAAACAGACGGCGACCTGAACGCTGTCCCAGCCAAAATGTGCGCGATAATTGGCCACCGTTTGCAGTTTTCTGCACCTCGTCGGACATACATACCTCGTCGGACTATTGATTGCTAAACAGTGTAAAAACCTTGGACCCATCATAATTCACGATCCACCGGCATGTCCTCAGGCACTGCGCTCGCTTAAAATTTGACGTGAAGGTGAGGTGGCCGAACAAGTGTAAAGGCAAAATGTTCTCGCTCACAATGGACGAGTATACGTCCTTGAGAAACCGACATTGGATAGGCGTGAGTGTCCACTGCGAACGTCATATGTGCGGTCTCGGTGCTGCAGTGTCCTGGAATTG